CTCTTCCTGATCTGGCTTCTTCCACTCAGTGTGGTACATTTGAACTCACTCGTACGTGGTGTGTGTTCATAGCCCACGCCACGTAGGCCTCTCCTTGGCACAGCAGGTTCCGCTCCGGGAGGCCAGATCCCACATGGTGGCACTCCGCCTGAAGTGTGCCAGCAAGTGCTCAAGAGCCATGCTGCTGAGGGCTGGAGTGCGATCCCTGTGGGGGTGCTCATCTGTCTCTCTCAGCTGTGTGTGCTGTCATGAGCAAAGAAGAAAGTCCGTTCCGCTGAACCCTGAGCTCAGGGTCATTCCGCTCGCCAGTGGCACGATAAATGACATGCTCAGCCGTTCACCCTGCCGGCACTTGGTCTGTCCAGCTTTTCCTGTTGCAGTTAGGGCTGCTGTGAACTTGACCTGTAAGTCTTTTTTTGCAGCTATGTTTTCTTTTCCTCTGGAGAAAAATGCCCAGGGGCGGAGCGTCTGTACCATATGCTAGGGCTGTTTTTAGCTTTGAAAACAGTGGCCAGACTGCTCTCGGATGCGGTTGTGCCTTTTTGCATTCTCGTCAGCAGTGCAAGGCACCCCCATGCCTGGAGGTCATGTGGTCTGTGCAGGGAGCGTGCCCCATGCTTCCTACTGTAGCCTCATTCTCAGCAGTAATCATGGGTTTGACTTGTAGAAGTGTCTTCCTATACTTATCAGATAAATGCACAGTTACTGAAAGGACCCTCTGTTTGCCATGTGCTGTCATCTGCACGCCCCGCTGAGCTGGGGCTTGCGGTGCGTGAGTATCTGTCATGCACAGGCTCAGAGGTCACGTGTTGGAGATAGTTCGTAAGAGTAAATGTAATGTTATTTCCTGAGAGTATTTGACGATACCTAGCTTCAGATGCAGTTTAATAAGCAATTGAGAGAACACTTAACAATAAGTACAGATCTTCCCACCAATTTTTTTCTTTTATTAGCTCTGAGAAGTAACACAGAGCAGGTCCTATACTTGGCAGCCAATGGAAATGGGTTTTATAAAATCACAATTTTATGAGCAATAGGGTAGTAATCTCTTTGCCAAAAAACGAAGTTACATTTTGTAGTTCATTTTAGGATACATACATGACACTAATATATTTCTATTCTTTTTTTTTTTTCACAGAACAAAACTCCTTTAGTCAATGAGAGCTTGAAAAAGTTTTTAAATACAAAAGATGGTAAGATGTTTACTTTGTTTTAAGTCTATAATTGTAGGTTTTTATTTAAAAATAGTATTTTACTGTTAAGTATGTTTGGTCATGCAAAGTTGTTGGTTAAAGCCAATTTGAGTAGAAAATGTCAATTTTACTATAAAAAGTGGAACACTGAAGTCTATTTGTGAAATGCTTTATCATCTTACGTAGTTCTAGATTGATGATCCCAATGCAAAAATCGAAGTTTGGATTTTTACTACTTACCCATGTTATTCAAAGAGCACGTATGTGTGACTAAAGAAACTTAGACACCTGTCTTCTCCCATTAACTAGTGCATCTTACATCACAGTGTGAATACAAAGACCAGTTTTTAAAGATCGCTCACTCTTTTCTTGATCTTTCTAGGTTGTCTGGTAGCCAGTCTTGTTGTGGAATTTCTTCAGTTTTTTAACCTTGACTTTACCTTGGCTGTCTTTCAACCCGAAACTAGCACAGTAAGAAGGATTTTTATATCTATCCTGTGAAATCATCTTTGATACAGATGAGTTACTATTAAGCTGAAAGTTATAAAATTTGACAATTTATAGGATTTTTTTTTTAATGTTTTTGCTATGAGTCATGTGCACTTGTCAGAAAGAGAGGGAAAATGAGGGGTCACCCCTGGGGGATGGCCACACCACAGTCCTTTCCCCTCTATCCTTTATTTTCCTCTTGGGGTTCTGGGCATGCACACTCAGGCACCCAGCGCATGATTTTCTTTCTTCTTCTTTTTTCTTTTTTTTGAGATTGTTTTGCTATAAGGGCTTCTGTGCTTGCTGGAGAGAGAGAAGAGTGAGAAATCACCCCCCACCCCCACCCCTGGGATATGACCACACTGCAGTCCCTTTAGTCTCTTCTTGGGATTTTTGGGTGCACATGCATTTGGCGTGAGTTTTAAGCTGTCAAGTCCGGGACTTGAACCATGGTCGGCTACGTGGGAGTTGAGTGACATAACCATGTCGCCATCTTCTGGTCCCTTCCAGCATGATTTTCAAGCTGCCAGGTCTGACACTCTAGCCATGGTCAGCTATATAGGAATTGGTGCCTTAGCCACCACCCCACCCGCTGACTCCAAAACTTAGTTTTTTTCACATGGGTTTTTTTTTTTTTTTTTTTTTTTTGTAGCTGATTATCTGCTTTTCTTAAAAGCCATCTGGTGTCAGAGCGCTGACACCAGCATTGCTGTTTTGTGTAACTGGAAGCTCACTAATAAAGGAGTGTCTCATAGTGTTTTGTCACGGCGTTAGACTGCAGCTGGTGACGAAGACTGAATGTGGGCTCCAGAAGAAATCGGTGTACTTGAAAGAGATGAACTGCACTCCTTAGAGAGAGAGCCCTGAGTTTAGAGAGATCTGTAAGCCCCGAACATGCCTTCTGTAAGATCCTGATACTTTTGCTGTTTCTTGTGCACTTATGTCTTATATCTTCCCTAGTTTCAAGGTCTCGAAGGTCGAGAGAATCTAGCCCGAGATTTAGGGATCATTGAAGCCGAAGGCACTGTGGGTGGGCCTTTATTATTGGAAGTGATCAGACGCTGTCAGCAGAGGGAAAAGGGGCCAGCCAATGGGGAGGTGAGTATAACCTCATGTCTCCTGTACTGTGATCTGTTTTAGTTGTCAGCTGCTTAGTTTTAGCCTTCCATAGTAGTGCACAAGTAGTGACTCCAGGTTTATGTAAAAAGGGCATTTTTTTTTTTTGAGAGGTTTTTGCTATAGGGCACGTGCACTCGCCAGAAAGATAGAGACAGAGAGACATAAAGCGAGAAATCACCCCCCAGGGGGGATGGCCATACTGCAATCCTTTCTCGTCCATTCTCCTCTCAGGATCTTGGACACACATGCACACGCACCTGGCGTGAGTTTAAGCCACCGGGTCTGGGACTCGAACTGTGGTCGACTACATGGGAGTCCAGCGACATAGCCATTCCGCTAACTGCTGGTCCCTAAGAAGGGTATTTCTTAAACATAAAATGAAACAGATATACAAACGCAGGCGTAATGAAATTGAAATGTGCCAACTCTGACCGTGTTGTGTACCTGTTGTGGTTACTGATAATCTTAGTGGGTGTAGGTCACAGCTCCTCCACTGACCTTGGGCCTTGACTCCACTTAACCTCTTATTGCTCCTTCTATAAGTGGGTGTAATAGGACCAGCCTCATGGGTTTGTGAGGCATAGGTGCAAGAGTTAGTCATGTGAAATGCTAAGGGTGGTACTTGGCATAGGAAACTGGTTGTGGGACCAGTAGATGACGTAATGGTAGCGTTATTGGACTCCTACATAGCTGACTGCAGTTTGAGTCCCGGATCTGGTGCCTTAGAACTCACACCAGGCGCCTGTGTGTGCATGTCCAAAATCCCAAGAGAAAATGGAGGAGACAGGATTGCAGTGTGGCCGTAAAGAGAAAATGGAGGAGACAGGATTGCAGTGTTGCCGTACCCCCCCGGGGGGGTGATTTGTCACTTTCTGTCTCTCTGTTTCTCTCTGTCTCAAAAAAAGAAAACTCAATTAGTCATTTGTTATTATTTTAGTAAATAATAAAAGGCTGATTCATAGTTTATTAATATTTTTGTACTTAAAAGCTTTTTAAAACTAGTCTTAGAAGTAAACTTTTTTTTTTCTTTCTAAATATTTTCAAACTTTTTAGAAACATTTTTGCTATAAGGAGTTTGTGCTCTGTAGGGGCAGAGTCAGAAAGAGAGAGAAAATGAGCACTCATCCCCTAGGAGGAATGACCACACCACTGTCCCTTCTCCACTCTCCTCTTAGGGTTCTGGGCACACAGGCACGTGCGCCCAGCATGGTTTCAAGCCACCAGGCCCAGGATTGAGCTGTGCAGTCAGCCATGTGGGCCCACCTGCCTCAACCTCTATTCCATCTGCTGGCCCCATTTTCAAACCTCCTTTTTCGGTTAGTGGTTACTTCTTTTATTCTTAACCTGTCTTTTTAGAAATCTTGCTATTGAGGCTAATGGTTTTCCTACTTCCATACATTAATTTTATATAAAGATGCCCTATTTCAAGTCCTAGGTGCCCTCTGCTCCTTGAAAGTGGCTTGTGCTTCCTGCTCATACTGTCTTGTCCCGTGTCCCTCTGCCATCCCCGGCTGTGGGTCTGCATCATTCAGGCCCTCTTGTCCTCTCTGACTTTGGGGGTGTCTGTTCCCCCACATCCCCAGGATCAGCGCATGCGGGCAAGCGTCTTCCTGCTGGGTGGCGAGGTGACCTGCCCTTGTCTTTGTCCTGCGATGGATCCCAAGTCTGCTGAGGGTGAGGGCCTATGTCCCCTGGTCCCTGCAGACCTAGGGCAGATGTGCCCACGGTGGATGGGAAGCCTTTGCAGATGCTTGTGCAGGAGTGCCCGTGTGGAAAGCAAATGTGAGGTTAGACTGGCGATATAGAGAAGTTAGAGGACCAGAAAGAAGTGAGACCCCTGTGAAGGCACATCTAGAAAGAGCGGCAGTGGATAAATGGGCAGAAGAGCCCTGGCATGGGGAGAGTGAGTGGGCTGGCGAGTTACGGTTTGGGCACGCGTTGGGTCGTGGAAGGCAGTATGGGAGAAAAACGCTCTCGAGGCGCAGTGTAGGTTTTAGGAGGACACTGCCACCAGAAACAGTGGCTCGAGAGGGGAGATGTCACAGGGAGTAGCACGTTTTCATATTTAAAAGATTTCTGTATCAGGACCAGCAGATAGCGTTGTGGTTACATCGCTGGACTCCCACGTAGTCAGCCGCAGTTTGAGTCCACGGCCTGGCGGCTTAAAACTCAACACTGGGCATGTGTGTGTGCATGTCCAAAATCCCAAGAGGAGAGTGGAGGAGAAAAGATTGTTATGTGGCCAAACCCCCGGGGCGGGGGGTGATTTCTCGCTTTCTATCTCTCCAGCGAGCACATGTGCCCTATAGCAAAATTCTCTCCAAAAAAAAAGCCCGTAACTGTCAAAGTAGCCCATGTTAATACGCACTGAGAGTCACTGAGCCTCTGGTGATAATAGTACCTGAATCTGAGCGAGTGGTTCCACTCTGGAAGCGTCTTCAAGGACTTCTGCATTTGTGCCCTGTGGTAGCAGGGCCGAGAGAGCCAGGCGTGATAACCCCTGGGGGAGCCGGCAGACCCTGCGCGTTAGAAGGGCGCAATCTAGGGCCCCAGTGCAGGAGGAACTCTGTCCTCCGAGGGCTGGCCGGCTGTGGAGTCCTTGATGAGGGCTCTTTGCTTTTGTCGTGGGTGAGATCAAGGAAGCCAAGCCGAGGAGGGTAGGAGTCTGTGAGAATCAGAATGGCAGTCTGCAGGCTGGGGAGAGGCGAGTGAGGACGCCCTGCAGGGCAGACAGGCGGGATCCAGTGTGGAGGGCCGAGGGGTACTGCACGGTGAGGGACGGAGCTGTGTGCAGGGAGCTAGAGACCCGGCGTGTTTTGTTTTTGTTTATTTAGTAAATTAAAGAAAAATGTAATTAGAGTATTTCAATTAATTAGGAAGACATTAAACTACCAACATTGTATAGCGTTTTTAAATGCTAAAATTCCATTGAAGTTTACTTAGTATGTTGAGGTTTTACTTTAAACTGTGCCTTCATTTTAAACTGTGAACCATTTCAGGGCGCACTTGACCTCTCTGACGTACATCCTCCACCGAAGTCGCCTGATGGAAAAGCAAGTGTGAGCAGTGTGCCGAGTAAGGTGAGCGAGCTGCGGAGTGGGGAGTGGAGGGCGGCTCGGCGGCTCTGCTTCTTTCTGTCGGGTCTTGTTAACAGGTGTTGTTTTATAACTCAGTGCACTTTAGTTTCTTGAAGGTGCTTTTCCCCTTCAGTTATGCATTTTTAAAAAATAATTCTTTTGCTTGTTGGTAGTAATTTGAATTTTGTATCGAAGAAAGGCATGTAGTGTTAAACAACAGAATTACAGGGTACTTGTTCTTATAGATGCTTCAAGCATTTTCAGTTCTATTAATGAGGTTTGCAGCTATTTTCATGTATAAATCTCTAGAGGATTTTGGGTTCCAGAGTATAAAGTTGTTATATGTTGTAGGCTTCGAGACAGGTGAGCAGATTTGAAATTGTAAATCATGTGGTCTTAAGATTTTATTTATTTATTTGTTTTTTAAATTAACCTTTTTGGAGATTTATAAGAAAACGTAAGTGTTAACTGTGATTACATTTTTGTGTGTTTATGCATTGTAAAGGTTAGATCTGACTTCAAAGATGTTACGTATTAGAGAAAAAGGTTGAGTTGAACACTTGAATTTAAGATCAAGAGCGTGGTAATAATACAGGAGTTGACAAGGAAGGTACAACGATGGCCAGGAAGGAAGCCGTGGTCCTGGCCGACCGGTCGCAGTGTGGCATGGATGGGTAGAAGCAGCCAGCACTGTCAGAAGTGGGCTGAGGGCACGTCTGAGTCCAATCAGGCTGTCACATCCAAGAACTGCATTGGGAACAACACAAGTGTTCTTCTCACAATCTGGAGGCTGCAGGTCCACGGCCAGGTGCCACGTGGCCAGGTTGACTGTCTTCATTGCGCCCTCACACGCTCCCTGGAAAGACAGAGAGAGGTCTCTGGTGTCCCCTTAAGAAGGACACTAATCTTATTGATGAGGGCTCCACCTTCAAGACCTAGTCACCTCCCAAAGACTTTGCCTTGTACTACTGTCACCTGGGGCTAGGCTTTCAGCGTCAGTCTGGGGACACACATGTAGCCTGTCACAGGTCAGATCCGTGTCCTGTGACTGTCCTTTGCTTCTCTTCTACTCCATATGACTAGGTGACCCTGTGGGCACCTCCAAAGAGCAGACTGGCTTTGTGGTGCCGCAGGTGCATCTCTTGAGATCACGCGAGATTTGAGAGGCAGCCATTGTACTGCGAGAGTTGTTTTCCAGTTGTCCAGGCACAGAGCGCTGCTGGGGGTCGCCTTGTTTATTACCTGTTCTCTCACGGTGGTGTTCCTTTTATCAAGTTTAAACCTCTGTAGTCTGCACTTCACTTCTAACTGAGAAAATAGATACGACAGTGAGCCCTGACAACCCAGGTTTGAGCTGCACAGGCCCGCGTATATGCAGGATTTTGAAAAATACGTGTTATAATATGATATTATATATAATAATATATTCTGTACTGTATAATACGTATTATATGTAGTTCCTCTTTATCATTTCCTAGTGATGTTTTGTTTTCTACATCTTTCCGCACTGTAGGAACATAGCACACAGCACGTATAGAAAATACGTGTTTATTGGCTACTCATGTTACCTGGGAGACTTCTGGTCCGAGGGCCTGTTAGAAAGCTCTGTGGGCGTAAGCCGTCCCACAGAGATGTCCAGCTGTGCAGGTGGCCAGCACTCACCTCACGGCCACAGCCCACTCACGCGTTCTCTCGGAGAGCTCTGGCTAGCCTTTTCTAGTAGGAAGATCTTTATTTAAAAGGTTTTTTCTTGTCCATGGCGCTTGTGGGATTGCATCCATGACGCCAGAGGGGGCAGGATCATAGGAAAATGTCTCCATTTACTGTGAATTAATTGCAGATAAAGAGCTCACTTAATAAGAAACCTGTATTTCCCATGAAAAATCTGTTCACTAGGACCCGAAATGAATAAATATTCTGAAATGCTTACCTAGTACCTATAGTGTCAAGCTACTTGTAAGTTTTTTTCTTAGCAAATTATTGTTTTAAAATCAAATTAGCAAAACTAACCTACATAGGTGTATCGCAAGATAAAAGCATTTTGGGAACCAGCAGTTAGCGAAATGGCTATGTCGCTGGACTCCCATGTAGTCGACCGCGGTTCGTGTCCCGGGACCCGGTGGCTTAAAACTCACGCTGGGCGCGTGTGCATGCATGCCCAAAATCCCGAGAGGAGAATGGAGGAGAAGGGATTGCGGCGTGACCATCCCCCTTGGGGGGTGATTTCTCACTTTCTGTCTCTATGTCTCTCTCTCTCTCTGGTGAGCGCACGTGCCCTATAGGAAAACCTCTCCAAAAAAAAAAAAAAAAGATAAAAGCATTTTAAATCTGATTTACGAACGTTTTTCTCTCTATATAAATTGTCCTAAAGATTTAAAGAATTAGGAGAATCTTTTAAGTGTTTTAAGTCAGTCAGGGAACATTGCTGGCAACTCTTTTTATTTTTTGGAGAGGTTTTTAAAGCCATAGGGCACGTGCACTCGCCAGACAGACAGAATTCACGCCCCCCAGGGGGGATGGCCATGCTGCTATCCCTTCTCCTCCATTCTCCTTTCGGGATCTTGGGCACACATGCACACGCGCCCGGCATGAGTTTAAGCCACCAGGTCCGGGACTTGAACCGCAGTCGACTACATAGGAGTCCAGCGACATAGCCATTACTGCTAACTGCTGGTCCCAAGGCAACTCTTAAGAGTGTCCGAGTTGGAGAACGAGGTCGTCCCCCTCTGGCATGCACATCCCCTCCGCCTCCGCAGCAGGCACTTAGAAATAGCCCAGGTGTTGTGGGGTCCTGGGGTCCCAGTGCTCACACCCCCTTGTCCCTGCCAGACACCTCTCCAGGTGCCTGGTCAGTCTGAGGAGCCCGTGAGGTGTGAGGGGCTTGACGCGTTGTGGCCAGGAGTAGGGTCCAGCACTGCCTTCAGGACTGGCTGTGTGTGCCCCCTGGAGGCAGGGTCCGCTCAGGACTGGTCTGGAGCAAGACTGAGCCATAACGCTGCTGAACGGAGCGCAGATGGAGGGCTTCCCTGGGACAGCCAGCAGGCAAAGGCTGCTGGGCCGTACCTGGCCAGGGAATGGGGAAGCAGGCAGCGTCACTGCCGTCTACAGGATGGGACAGTCAGGAAGGACAGAGATGAACGGCGGGGGAGCATGCTCATTACATTTGCCAATTTCCTTTTTTTTGTGGGGGGAGTTTTTTGCTATAGGACACGTGCACTCACCAGAAAGACAGACAGAAAGCTAGAAATACCCCCCCCAGGGGGGATGGCCACACCGCAATCCCTTCTCCTCCATTCTCCTCTTGGGATCTTGGGCACGCACACACGCTCAGTTTAAGCCACCGGGTCTGGGACTCCAATAGCTGTTGACTGCGTGGGAGTGCAGTGCCGTAGCCGTTATGCCAACTGCTGGTCACTACATTTGCCATTTTGAGAAGTCCCTGATAGATGTCTTTGATAGTTGGTTAATGAGTTAGTTTATTTTTTAAGATTTATATGTTATGGTAAAATGTCATTTTATTCTCATGCTCAGATACCAAGGTATAAAGGACAAGGTAAGAAGAAGACAAGCGGGCAGAAGTCTGGTGACCAGGTAACACGCTGAGGGTAGACAGCGGCCGCTCCAAGAGCTCTCGGGCGCTGGGGCGCTGCGGGCACTGGGCTCTTGCTGGCCTGGGGTTCAAGCTTTCTTGTGGAATGTCACTTTCGTGTCTGTACTCAGAACGTGTGAAAGTAACAGTGGTGTCAAACAAAAAGCAGTTTGACTTTCAGTTTCTGTCCAGCTAAAAATCATACCATTGCATTTTACCCCTGTGTTCTCAGTTTTACTTTATTTCAAATTTTCTTGTTTTTGGCAAAAAAAGTTGAAAATATTTCTTTTCCCTTTTAAAGGATGATTATGAGAATATTGTTAACATGATTTTTAACTCAGGTAAATAGAACCTTAGACTACTTTTTAGATTAGTTGTCATCAGTGAATTAAAAGGTTCACCTTAGCTTTCTTCAAGATGTCTCTGTGCTTGGCGGCGTTCCAGCCAGTGCGTGTCTGCGAGCCCACGCCTGGGGGGGGCTCGCTCCAGATGTGGGGCTCGCGGCGGCGGGGCCCTGCTGTTTGCCTTTTCTCCCCCGAGGATCCCAGAGCTGACCGGGCAGTAGCTGAGCTGCTCCGGAAGCCTGAGTCGCGGCGTCCGGGAGCCTTGTCAGGCCCGTCCTCACGTCTCTTCATGTAGAGGGTGACTCAGTCTGGAGTTCTGTGAGATGCGTCAGTTCTGGGTCGAACCTTGGATTATGTATAGATTTTTTTCATGAAATCGAAACCTCTAACCT